TGACTTTATATTGATCACTATTACAGAACAAAGAACCGCACTGTGGTCTGAGAATCCTACAGGATTAATTCTACAAGATTTAAAAATATTAAACTGGTGCTTAAAGCTGTAAAATCAGTCAAGACGTGCCGAAGACAATGAATTATCTTTACAATAAACCCATGTGTATTGTCTTAGTTTTTTATACATATTTCTCCAAATATCACAGAGATCAAAAGTTTGAACCAATTGCTTGATAACCCTTTGAGATGCAACATGTGGTTCTAAATGGTTTCAGTCTACTTTATCATTCTCAGTACAATTAAAATCTCCACCTAAAATTTCATCTGTATTTAGGCTTTTCAGAGTAGTGTTGACTAAATTTAAAAACAAAACTCTTTCCGCTCCACTATTAGGAACATAAATATTTAAAAAGACTATAACAATTTTTATTTTATTTTAATATAACTTTTAAAAAAACATCCTTTTTCAATTTCAACAAATTCATTAGATACTGGAGTCACATTTTTAGAAAATAATATTGCCACACCTCCACTAATAGAGGATTTATGACTAAGAAAATGTTGACCTCCCCACTCTCTTTTCCAGTCTACCTCATTTGTTTTATCACTATGTGTTTCTTGTATAATCATGACATCAACAGAATTCTGGCTAATAAACTCATACAACATCATCCTTTTATGAACATCTCTAGCTCCATATAAATTTAGAGTTCCAATTTTTAGCTGAATCATAGTATTATTTAAGTTCCACAAGAAACTAAGAGGAGAAAAAACAGATTATGTATATGGTCAAAAACACCAAACTTAGGGATTTAAACCATGTAATTCTTCTCATCTCTAAGAACTCTGAGAAAGCCCCTTCTTTCATTAAATATCTGGTGTCCCTCACAAACTGTGCACGATTAGGAAAATAATCCTCAATCTGTATGCCTTTTAGCCCTTTTGTTTCCTGAAGAAAAAGACTAATGTCCTCATCTTTGTACACAACGTTTACATTCTCATTTTGAGAACAAGCAAAAAACTTTGAACACACCGAAGCACTAGAATCAGAGTCATCATCATCCGAAACTATGATTTCATCTTCACCATCACTTTTTTTGACTTGTTTATTGATTTTATAATTTTGATTTCTTTTAATTGGAATTTTGAAGATCGATTCAATTTCCATGTTCAATTTACAATCATTCAATCTCAAGTCTTCATTTCCAGTTTCTCGGTCTTGTTCTACAAATGCGGAAGATACTGTCTTACTCAATCCTGCCACGGTCTCTGCCGCTACAGGCTCCACCACAACACCTCCATCAGCAAGAGGAGAATTAGACATCAATGTTTCCGCGCTGCTTTCGCCCTCAACCGGCTCTTCTAATGATACATTCACAGCGGTAGGCTACTATTTCCAACCTCCAGTGAGGCAGCCGCGGATGCACTAGTTTCAGTGACAGTGCTCCCGGCTTTATCTGCATCAACATGCTCTGTGTTCTTATTTACTCTATCAGGGCAACTACGAATAAGATGCCCGATTTTTCCACAACCAAAACATTTGATCGTCGTATCAGATGATGCAAATAGCATAATCAAAGCCATCTATTTTCAATTTAAAAACCAGATCAAGTTCTGTCTCCTAAAAGACACAAGATGTTTCACTACAGGCGACTTACATCCGAGCGGAATTTTTTTGATGGGAGAGACTTTTTCCATATCGTGACAATTCTTGCATGATAACATCATCTTTCACAAAAGGAGGGACATTTGAAAGTACTATTTTCTTGGCGGGAGTGCTCAAAGGAAAACATTTGATCGTCGTATCAGATGATGCAAATAGCATAATCAAAGCCATCTATTTTAAATTTAAAAACCAGATCAAGTTCTGTCTCCTAAAAGACACAAGATGTTTCACTACAGGCGACTTACATCTGAGCGGAATTTTTTTGATGGGAGAGACTTTTTCCATATCGTGACAATTCTTGCATGATAACATCATCTTTCACAAAAGGAGGGACATTTGAAAGTACTATTTTCTTGGCGGGAGTGCTCAAAGGAAGCACCGGCGTAAGCGAACCCTTAATTACTTAATTACAACACCATTTTGCACTATTTCATTAGCCTTCTCAATAGTGCTAAGAAAAAGCACAATAGCATTATTCATTCGCGAAGCTGACAATTGCATCACAGCTATGCATTACACATTATTACGGCTTACTATTTACTACACACACAGATTTTCAACATTGGCAACATTGGTAATTCAGTAGATCAGTGTTTCAAACTCTCCATCACCGTCTGCATTAGAACACGGCTCTACTTTTAGGCTTTCTGCAGGGAATACACCCAGTAGGTGGTTCTGACCCTTTTATGTCAGGGCTGTTGTCTTTGTCTGAGATTGCAGTCTGTTCTCTCATTTCCTTCCAATACAAACAGAGCTTCAGAGGCCCACGCCAAAAAAAATACAGTCAGCTGTGCCGTTGCTGGACTCACACGGACCGCTCAAACTTTCTCCCTGCGTCTCTTGTTTTCATGTCTCTTCACTATAATGCACTAAACACACACACTAACAGAATACAAATATAAAGAAATAAACATTGTAAACCCAGCTTCCACAGTCAGATATAAGGAGGCCACCTTTCAACTAAAAACAACAGCACATTTATCTTGACAGTTGGCAACTACAAAGGACAACAAGATGTGCTCTTTCCTAACACTACATCTGTGCCCCAAACAGGCATGTGCCTCACAAACTCCAGCATGTGCACGCTTTAATCACACTATAATTGACCACACTCTCTGAAACACAGAAGCACACAAACATTTCCTCCTTCAAATCTTCCATTACTCATTGTGTACCTATCATCTACACTTCAACAGATAAACACTGTAGCTCCGCTACACACAAAAAACTCACAATACAACCACACATCAATGGACTGTAGTAGAAATACAACAAAGTATCCTATAAATACACTAATAAAATACATTACAAATTCAATCAATTCACATTTACAATCTCATCTAAGGGTATTTTTACATGACACTAATGTACTAAAACAAGAAAAGTTTCACATACACTGCAACATTGTCAAAACAATCCCTGTTCACACAGATCCACCAAAACAACTAACATCACTGTATTATGGTTGTCAAGTGCTTGCATATGCTATACACTGAACACATAATACACATGGACATGACATCACAGTTTTCACAAATCACGTTTTTGAAGTTTACACGGACACAAAATGCCCCCTTAGTACATGGGATGTTACCCATGCATGCTACCACCATACTATATCTGCAAATACAGCCTTTTTTCAGCTGTCAGACATGCGGCCATTGACTTGCCTGATTGACTCTGCTTTAGGGTGCAGCATGATGAAATCTTCACCACTTGCATGTAATTTACCCGAACAATCTACTCCACGTCTCTGCCAGAGTAGCTTAAACAATAGAAATCACTTTAACCGCAGTCTTCATGCAACATTATTAATTAGTTTGTCTTTAAGTGTACAAAGCTGTTAGTTGTTTCCTCGTAATAACTGCACCTGACTGCTATTTTTTCTCCTGGAAAAACAAGTGTTACTTTTCATAGTTTTGAAAAGTAGTTGAATAGTAGTATATCGTTTTTGAGCTCTTTGAAATGTGTGCTGCAAGTAATCCCGCCGACTGTCCGTCATCGTTAGTGACTGAGGAAACTGTAAATGAAACTTGTCACTTTACTGCCACAGCTTTTTGCCACTAATTGAACCTGCTAATGTTTCATTTGTTATTATTAATCCCGCTCTGGCAAAAGGTGACCCGACTGAGATGCTACATTTTAACTTTCAATGGTAGTGTAGCAAGCAACGCCAACAAATACATAGTTACAACAATGATAGTGTTCTTGTATTAGTGTACTTTACAGGGGGAAAAGCCGTTGCTTACAAAGTATAGATACCATTACCCTCACCACACTAACTTGCTCAATTTACACTTATAAACACACTGACTTGCACAACTAGCAATGACTTCCTAACACCTCCTACAAAACCACTCAATATTGAACAGCATATATAAGAGCTAGGGATGTGCTAAACTACTCGATTAAACGGAACTGCTGCTGCTAGTCGATACTGTAAATACTAGTAGAAATTTAATCATTTTAATGTTACGTTTTAGAAATAATACATTATTTTGAAAAGTCGATATCTGGAGCGGAAAACAAATTCATTTAATTTCACATCAGATCTTGCATGCATACGTTTTCTTCCTGTCACTCTCTGCGGGATCAGAGAAATGTCTGAAGACGAGTAAGGTGTGGGAGCGCATTTACTGGTTTAAAGGAGGAAACATTATGAATGAAAGGGAACTGACTTTCTGCAGAAAAGTTTCATTGACATGTTTAATGTTATTTAAGTATAATGCCTAGAAGCGCTGCTTTGTTTACTGGGCAACCATGGTCTGCTGCTTTTGTTGCCATCAATGTAAATTTTAGCCGTTTGACAGAAAAAACAATTCACATCATAATTTATCTGGAATTATTTGACTATTTGATTCAAAGTTGAAGTATTTCAAATCACATATACACACGTTTGTGACTGTCTTCTGAGGGTTTCTTACTTTTCGACTAGTTGATTAGACGGAACAAAATTTCTGTTTAAACGACTATGAAATTAGTTTTAGCGCACATCCCTAAGAGTAGCATCTTAATTAAGACAAATTTCTGTTTAATACATATTTATGCTAACAATGTTTGTGACTGTCTTCTGAGGGTTTCTTACTTTTCGACTAGTTGATTAGACGGAACAAAATTTCTGTTTAAACGACTATGAAATTAGTTTTAGCGCACATCCCTAAGAGTAGCATCTTAATTAAGACAAATTTCTGTTTAATACATATTTATGCTACAAATATCATATTGTTAGCTTTGCAACACTTTAACGTCAAACTTGGAATCAATTGACAATCGAGTCTCCCTTGTGCTTTGTGAGAAGAATAATTTTGTCTGCATATTTCCACGTTTTTCAGGATCTGGATGATATTGAAGATGAGAATGAGCAGCTCAAACAGGAAAATAAGACCTTGCTCAAAGTGGTCGGCCAGCTCACCAGGTAGAACCCGGCGACCCGAGGATGGCTGAAATGGATTCTGCGTCTAGCTGCGGTGGCCGGAGGGATTTGCTGAATGATGCGACCGCCTCTGTCCTTTACGTGTTCTGCTCTGGTCTTACGTGTCTGTCCGTGTTGTCGTCACTCTATGGAAGAGGATGCGTGCGTGCCTTGGGGAGGCTTTGAGAACACGGACCTCTGGATGTTGAACCAAGCCGCTCGATGTGGTGTTACTCGAGGCATCCCGCTTTTACGAGGGTTGTCGAAAGGAACTTGCCTTTTATTTAATGTAAATGTGTGTGTACATAGGCTACGCTGACTGTTCTTTTAAGACTTACGCAGGACAACGAAAAGGGGAAATGCCTTTGAACATATGGGGCGGCACCAAATTTATTTTCTTTCCTTCTTATTCTTCTAGCTCAGAGGCTTTTTTTACAATCAAATCTCAAATTGTTCATCCAATCGCACATCTTTGCTATATTGGGACGATAGACGCATTCTGCCTGTTTCTGTCACGCTTTCAAAGGACTGCTTTTGGGATATTTCAGCTTTAAGGGCTCCTCTATCAGTTAAAAGTGGCCACAATTGCCTTTACATTTAAAGTCTGTCTCTTTAACACACATCACTTCTATTACCCGTGAGTCCAAGAAGTGCCTGTTAGACAGGAGCCCACATCTAAACTTAAACTGGGTAATTGATCCTCCCCGGTGGTTGGTACAATTCTGTGTTTCGGCCTCCGAGAGCATGATGCTACGAACATGTTTCTGGCTTGAAGCTTGCAAATGCTGTAATGAATATTATGTTATTGTCTGATTTTTTTTTACATTTTACACGCTGTTCAAATGTTTACAAGTTGTTTAAACTCTTGGTATCAATAGATGTAGCTGTTCATCATGTACGGTTAACGCGACATATAGCCTAGGATGCTGCTGTGCATCTTTCAAATAACCAAATCGATTGAAGGCGTTATTAAGCACGTTCATGTGGTCTCTCATAGCTGAAAAAGACGGGGATATGACATTACATTTAATTGTGATTGCAAGGTCACCACTTTGGGGTTCATATCTACAGTGATGCTAATCTACAGTGCTAATGAAATCTATTCTGTAAAGTCATTTGAGGGGGTATCTTTTTCTTTTTTCTTGGTTTTAGACTGTATTGGGGTGGGATATATCTGTATCCCACTGCTTTACATAATGCATGTACAGAAGATTAAATAAAAGTTTCAATAAAAATCTTTCATGACATATTTCTCTATTCAGTCACATTTTTCATTACTGTATTGAATTACAGTTCAATTAAATAATAATAATTATTATTATTATTAAAGTATTCAAATTATGGCCTCCCTATTTAGAATAGAATACTGACAAATGAGGAATCATTTACTCTCCATCATGTGGTTCTACACCTACTTTCTCATCACTTTCTATATACATACAGCTCTTGAAAAAATTAAGAGAACAAATTTATCTTAAATCAGCATCTCTACATGTATGGCAGCCATTCCATTCCAGTGTTTGTTGAATTCCAACACAGGCACACCACATTCTGCTTAATGAAGTACTGATTAGGTGATCACCTCAACCAAATCTTATTTAACGGGGAAAAGTATAAAAACCACTGCTGTGGTCATCACTATCCTCTTGCAATAGGACCAGCTGAATGTCAAAAACAGCGCTAGTAGTACCCAAAAAGTAACTGGAATTAAATAATGACTAATGACCATGCCAAAAGAGTTAAAAAGAAAAGTTTTGAGTGAGGAAAAGACCCGGTTTCACTTTTGCTTCCAATATTGATCACATTTATCAAGGGGGGAAGGAGGGGAGGGGCACAGTAACTCGTTTGGTGCCAGCCCTGCCGCTAATTCATTCGAATGTCACTCAATACACGTAGGATGACATCAAGTGACCTACAGAAAGAATGGCAAACGGCAGCTGAGGTGAAGTGCACAGCGAGAATGGTTTGAAACAAACTCTTGGGGCAGGGCTGAAGTTGTGCAAAGCTAGAAAACAGCCCTTCATCAATGAGAAGAAAAGAAGAACCAGGCTGAGGTTTGCAAAAGACCATAAGGATTGGACCTTCTCTGATAAGTTCAATTTTCAGCTTTGCCCAACATCTGGTTGTCTAACACTGTGTCTCCACCGGACGTGAGCGGCGCAATGCGACAATAGAACCCATTATAATCAGTGATGCTGTCTACACTGCGTGGTACAACACGACAACTGTCACGTCCGGTGTAGACATGGTGTAATGGTTAGACGGAGACCTGGAGAGGCCTACAAGCCACAGTGTATCACACCCACTGTGAAATTTGGTAGAGGATCAGTGATGATCTGGGGGTGCTGCAGCAAGGCTGGAATCGGGCACATTTGTCTTTGTGAATGGCACGTGAATCAAGCCACGTACAAGGTTGTCCAGGAAGAAAACTTGCTTCCTTCTGCTCTGACAATGTTCCCCAACTCTGAGAATTGTTTTTTCCAGCAGGACAATGCTCTGTGCCACACAGCCAGGTTAATCAAGGTGTTGGTGGAGGACCACCAGATCAAGACCCTGTCATGGCCAGCACAAACTCCAGATCTAAACTAATTGAAAACCTCTGGAATGTGATCAAGAGCAAGATGGATGGTCACAAGCCATCAAAAAAGCAGAGCTGCCTGAGTTTTTGCACCAGAAGTGGCATAAAGTCACCAAACAGCAATGTGAAAGTCTGGTGGAGAGCATGCACACATGAAAGCGGTGATTGAAAATCAGGGTTATTCCATCAAATATTGATTTCTGAACTCTTCCAAAGTTAAAACATTAGTATTGTGTTGTTGAAAAATGATCTTTTATTTTTTTTTGCATTATTTGAGATCTGATCTCACTGCATCTTTTGTTTTTATTATTATTATCTTTTATTTTGACCAGTTGTCATTTTCTGCAAATAAACGCTTTATTTGGAATTTGGGAAATAAATGTTCATTTTACTCAAACACATACCTATAAATAGTAAAACCAGATAAATTTATAATTTTGCAATGGTACCTTCATTTTTTTTCCAGAGCTTTTTTATAAATAAAATATAATAAAAATAATCCAATTTATAATCTAACAATCCAAATAATGTTCCACAGAAGGAGGTCATAACTGTAAGGTCATAATAGTTCAAAGTCATAACTGGAATAACATGAAGGACATAACGACAATTTTCACTTTTGGGTACTTTGATTCTGCCATATTCTTGACACTTTTTACAATATTCACCCAGTGTTTCCCACTGTGTGATTTCAGTCCTCTGTGAATAGAACGGATCCCAGTTTGGCACTGCAGGAAATCATGAGGTATTCATAAAACCAATCAGAGGCTAGTGAACAGAAGGCTTTGCTATCTAGAGGATGCAGGGACTCCACTATGGCTCGCCTGCATATTAATAAAGTGACGCCTCTGTGGTCATTAGAGCCCTCACCCCGAGAGAGGAACGCCTGCTATCACGCTAATGCTTTAGTAATTGCTTCGTCCTCCCCTCTCCGCCACTCCAGGACAGACGTGCGTCTGGATTAGCATTTTTATGGAGAAAGAGCCATGCTGAATCTTCTGGTAAGAGTGGAGACGCGAATGCGTCCATTAGTGAGCTTTAACTCCTTCACCTTTAAAAATATTTGTTGATTAAGTAACAGTGCTGGATGCTGACGTTCCCTGACTGTACTGACACTGTTCACATTTCTCTTCCTGTGCAAAGATGATGGAATCTCAGAAGACAATCACTGCATCATGACCCTGTGTTAGTCAAAATGTATTTCAAAAATGCAGCATTCAAAGTAACTGGAGAGTCTTCAGCCCTCCTTAAGAGTCCTTCAAGTTTCAATGAATTAAAGTGCCCCTATTATGCCATTTTGAATACTACCTTTCATGCAGTGTGTAATGTAGCTGTATGTGAATGTAAACGATCTGCAAAGTTGTAAAGCCAAAAGTGCACGATAAATAAAGTTATTGTCTCCCAAATGAAAGAATCGACCCTGAATAGCCTAAACGAGTCGTCAGTAATTCAAATCCCATTTCCGTGACAGCTACATGTCACAGGGTAACACATTTGCATAATGCCTGCCCACCTATGTTCTACATTGGCCAGCTGCAAACGACTTGACCCGCCCTCAAACACTGTAGCTTGTGGGGACATTTCCACACCTCTAAACATGACACGGCACAAAACAAAATGTGATTGGTTGCTTTACCTGTCAGTCATATGGCCTCTTGGGCGGTCCTTGGCCAAGGTTCCCAGACCTTCTGCCTTTAGTCTGAAGGTCTGGCTACGCAAGACTAATTGGGACCAGCTGGCTTCACTGAATCACAACCTGTAAGTATGATAAATAATAGATGGTTATATTTTCTATTGAGCATTCAAAATATGGAACTAAGGCAATGGGCATATCATTTCTGAAACGCGCTGTACACGGTAGACCAATCACAACAGACTGGGCCATCTGACCAATCACAGCAGAGTAGGCTCACTAAAAAGGAGGGTTTTAGAGAGACTGAATCTTAGAACGGCTTCGAATGAATCGTTTGAGAATCGTTGGAAAATGAGGTGATATTAAATGCATATTTTGAGAAAACTGAAGCGCTTTTTGACCTTGCATGCGGACTGTCCATTTAACTGACATGAAATATGACCATAATCTAAGGCACAAAACTCTTTGTTTCTTTGTTTACATGCTTTATGCAAAATATGTATATATATATACTACGCAAGACTAATTGGGACCAGCTGGCTTCACTGAATCACAACCTGTAAGTATGATAAATAATAGATGGTTATATTTTCTATTGAGCATTCAAAATATGGAACTAAGGCAATGGGCATATCATTTCTGAAACGCGCTGTACACGGTAGACCAATCACAACAGACTGGGCCATCTGACCAATCACAGCAGAGTAGGCTCACTAAAAAGGAGGGTTTTAGAGAGACTGAATCTTAGAACGGCTTCGAATGAATCGTTTGAGAATCGTTGGAAAATGAGGTGATATTAAATGCATATTTTGAGAAAACTGAAGCGCTTTTTGACCTTGCATGCATGTAAACCTCTTGTAGGAGACTCCCAAAACAATATTGGGAACCTTAAAAAGGGCATAATAGGGGCACTTTAAATAAAAGTTAAATGATTTAATTGATTGATTGCCATTTATTCATTATCTATTAAGCTAGCCCCAAAATGATTTTCTGTTGTATCGCTCTAAACGAGTGGGACTGACACATGATTGATAAAAGATACAAATTATTTTTAACTTAAATGATTCTTCACACACTTCAGTCGCTGTAAATATTTCAGTTTTGTGCTAAACAGCTGCATGTGTAACATACTAGCAGGTGTTTTAGAAGTAGTAGTGCAGTAGTTGGTGCACGATTAGGTTTAATTGCTTTGAGCTCAATGTCACTAAAACAGATCCAAATTAGATCCTGTTATACATCAACTGGCACAGAACTGCCATTTAACGAAAGGAAAAATTCATGTGTATTTGAACCCAGGATGATTAGTATCAGGAGTAAGTATGGCCCGCCTAACTATTCGCTATTCCTTTTGGATCACAGTAAAGTATGATCTTCACAAGCAAGACAGAAGAGTCATGGAGCAACTGCACGAGATACTAGATACTAAAGACAAACGGCAGTGAACTACAAAAACCACAAACTGACTCATCAGAGCCACCCTGGCTAACGGCGCCTGTTAACAAGCGCTAATTGAACAAACCTGACAACATCTCACCGTTCTGAGGACTCTTCAGATTTGAGACAATAGTTGTGGATTCATACTCCACACCGGTTGCTCTAATCATAACATGTACTGACAAACATCTTTTCTCTAATCTTCTCCAAATCTGAAAAACTGGGAACCGAAGGAGAATGGCTTGGGTGACAAATTAAAACCAGCCCAAGAACACAAAGTCAAAATATGCTACAGATTTCCTCTCATTATTTAGTAAATAGGGGTGGGTGATATGGCAAAATATCAAAGCACAATTGTTTTCAGGCAGGATCACGATCTTATCACAATTTTTCATAAATCTTATTTCACTTTATTTTATTTTTGTTATTAAAAATAAACTGCTTTAAAGGCAGATTGTGGAGGCATTTTAATTGTTCACAATCTAAGATCGTCATATTGCACACCCTTACTGTAAATATAATGTAAGTAACAGCATATACTCTACATTTGGATATGATGTAACCTGCAGAAAGAGTCACTGAAAAATTCCCAGCACTAAAAAAA